TGACTTTGATTGTACTGTTTTTACTGAAAACCTGTGGCCTGTGAGATACTCTCCAATTACCAGCCTATTCCTCCTGCAATTTCATTTCATTGGTCAAAATATATAAGTCTCTTCCTCGGTTTCACGTGGAGATGAATGACGCAGTTGTAAGTAAGTAGGGTAAGTGAACACCGAACGTACCGCACCACAAAACAGGGTTACCTGACACCGCATTGCCCTAAACGAGTAAGCTCACTTAGTTAGTTTTCGGTAAGTTCAGTTCATGAGCGCTATCGCAATTGTGGGCGAATTCGGGAGTAGGCACATCCAAATAGTATCTACCAGTGTCCAGTGCTTCGTTCTTTTGCTAACTTTTTCTTCGCATACCCCAATACCTGAACAACATCCTGGCGCAGTAAGAACAAGGAAAGAGGAGAGATTTCAACTTATTCATAAATATTTCTACATAATGCAGGGAACTTGAACCAATGAGATTTCACCTTCAGACGCTGATCGGAGAGCTGTGGAGAAAAGTGGATTTGGCAAGAGAGGAAATACATGGTAGCATAAGGGAGAAACGGCAGTTATCCTGTGAGTCGAACCTCCTTGTGTAGTCATATTCAGACATCTGTGAAGCCTTGTTCACTGTTGGGTTGTTTGAAGTTGGGTTTGGAGCAGCGAAGATAGCTCGCATGAGTGGGAAGGGGGTGGGGAGGAGCAGCTAGCTTTGGCGCAGCGCCAGCTGTTCTCCTCCAGTTGTCACCCGAGGAGAACTCGAGGAGTACAGGCTAGCGCCGTACCGAACCGAGCCCTTCGAAAGGTCCCATCGTCCGGCACTTCGCAACCAGGTTTTAGACAAACCAGCAAGATCTGCACTAACCATAATTAAGAGGGATGGGCAATCCAAGCAACTTTATCTGCTCGAAAGCAATAACCATAGAAACATTGAAAGGATGAATAATAAAGTCTTCGCCGTTAATCAATCCCTTTGTGGGATGCGGCACGCATTCTACTTCCATTCAGAATCGTAGTGGCTTATTGAATGCGATGTGGCCTATACAATGACTTGCGGAGGCCAGCCGATGTACTATCAGTGCCCCTATCCTCCCAGCTTAATCTGGTACCAATCTACCGCCTCTAATGAAGTTAGGAGTACTTACTTCAGCATGCTGCATTGGACCACCAGGATTGAAAGGATATCCAGGTCGTCCCTCCACGGATGGAATTGATGGCACTCCTGGTAAGGTTTTTTTTCTTTACACAGTAAAATGAAACTTACTTTTATCCTTAGAGTAGCTAAGGTGGTAAAGTGAGAGCTAAGCATGAGAGCTAGCTAAGGGAGGCGTCTTACAAAGAGGATCTAGAAGTTCTTTCGCACCGATTGCTTGCGCATGGCTTCTCTATGTAGCTTTTACTTCCTTTTCTTTTTCAACATTTTTCCTACCTTTGTATACACCACTGATGTTTCTAAGGTTCGCCAGGATGAATGTTGGTCGACACGATCGGACCACGTCCATTATGTATCCGTTGAGTGTCCACCGGGACACCTGCACCGCGTTCGTTTCACCTTTTTAATTTTGAATGCGGTCTCTGTTAAATTATTGTTCAGCCACTCAGCTCCGCAAAATAAGAGACACTACTACTATTTCCCCACTACAGACCGTTCATCTTTTTTCATCTCTCATTTTCATTTTTCTTGCCTACTATTTACAGGCGTGGATCCTTATAAAAAGATAGCACAAATCTTGGCTATCTTGCGCCAATATGCGCATAGCTAAAATGCCACAGCTACCAACGAATTCCCCATTACGAAAAACCTTGGCAATGTTTTTCTGAAATAATTTCAGAAAACATCTTTTGGGATAGACTTTTTTCAAATAGGCCCACACAAAAGCTGCCCGTTTTCTGGCACTTATAAGGGGTACTTCTCATGTATTGTAGATAAAAGTTTACTTAAAGTAACCATAGCTACTCAATTTACCCATCAGTGTTCGGTTTTCAAAATAAGAACTGCTAGCTTCTTCGATCGCCAACTTCATTCAAATAATTACAGTCCAATAGGGGTTACTTTTACTAAAACGCGGATGTTGTTTATATTTCCAATGTTTTCAATTGTTACATTTTTCAGAAGAATTGGTCCACCTGGCGAAAAAGGCGAACGCGGTTTCCGAGGAAGGCCTGGTCCCTTGCTTGGTGTCAGCCCCCCCACCATCCCGAGTGCGCGAGGGGAGTGCTCAATGCGTTGGTGCTCCAGGAGAGCCTGGAGAAAAGGGTTTCCGAGGACTAACGGGACCACCTGGTGAGCCAGGTGAGCCTGGGAAACTATACACGGCTGCTGGACCGCCCGGAAGCAAGGGGCTGCAAACCGGACCACGCTGGGCCACCGCTGCGAAAAAAGGGTGGCAACGTGGACGCGATGTGTGAAAAATGGTTAGCGCAGTTATAAGTGTGTGTATTGACTTCATCTGATGAATCTAAACTAATCTTTCAGGACTGGAAGGTCCGCGAGGAGAACGTGGATTCCCTGGTCTCAAAGGCGAAAAAGGACCACGAGGTCCCACTGGACTTCCAGGACCACCGGGTCCTCAAGGGAATAGTTGGCCCTGCCAGAGCTGTCCGCCGCGCACGTGTCGTTCGCCCGCGGGTACTACAAAAAATTCTGTCAAAAACAGATCGTTTACTGATCCGTGAACGACAGAAATGAAATTCTTGGTTTGCCAACATGAAATTTCTTTGAAATGTAGCCCACAAGTGTATGTATATAAGGACCGAAATTCAAAAGTATAATCTTTAGGCGCTCCCAACATTTTTCAGTCTTTGTGGGGGCTGCCACCAAGGGGAGTCTCTCGAATGCTTTAACCACCTATCTCTAATGCTCCCTAATCGGAAGGGAATGTATTCAAAATACTAGCAGATGTGTGCTCTCGGAAGGAGCGACCGGTAAACGTAAGAGAAACCCCAAATCGTGACTGAACAAGGCTACCTGAAAATTAGCAAAAGCATAGAAGATGCCATTCAGTGCGGCGCTTGACAAGAAGCAAAGAATTAATTATGGGACTGGATCCATTCAAAAGACTCCTCAAAACCACGGAAATTTCATGACAATGGTTCGCCATGTTGGCCTGGCGTCAATTGAATGAACTCGCCGCGATCGCACAAGGACTACTTTAGCTGACGGCATATCCAAGGTTTTGCATAATGCAAGCCTTCCAGTATTGCTTCTTCAAATATATTTCTGTTCGTGTCTCCTCTGAGAAATCTGATTGCTGTTTGCAGTTTTTAGGCGCGTAAAGTAGGTTTTCAAATCGTATGGGTGAAACTGGTAGTTGACTTAACAGTTTTGATTCTACATGAATGAATTTGTTGTTGCACGCGGAAACTGGTTTACTCAAATTTGTGTGCCGCGAGGAGGGTGATGACGTTTGGCCACCCACTACATTCGTATCCTTTTGGTGTTGGTGTAATGTACTTATGAGAATTTCAGTCTGTGGTTATGATCGTTCTGTCTGAAAGTGATTAGTGATCGCCAGGGTGATGCTAAAAAAAAGGCTCTCGCCTTTAGTACAACTCGGCGAATAGGCGAGGGTGGTAAGTGCAGATTCACACGGTCTACGCGCGGCCTGACGGTGTGGGTGGTGTAGGGGTCAGTCATTCGATTGGCTCCCGCTTAAAGGCAGCGTCGCGATCAACCAAAGTGAGAAAAAAACCCTCCATTGATTAGAGAGCGAGGACGCGATTCCAACCATAGCGGCATACCCCATCTCTGTGCGGCGGGGGGGTGGGCTCGAAATGTATTGATTGACGAAGGCGGAGTCAACAGGGCTGAGCTGACGCCTCCTTCCCTGTTAATCCCGCCCCGACTGGTTAACAGTTATCAGTGCTTGCTGGCATTGATAAACGCTAAGTTTCTGGAGTTCCGAGCCGGCGACGTGTATTGGAGAACTCACCAAAGGTCTGCGAAACTCGTCCACATGCCTTAAATTTCGTAGGGTCTTATTTCACGCTCTTCCACACCTTTTTCCTACTTTTTTTGATTAGTGCTTCATTGGCCACCTGTTCTAACAAATTTGACCCTGAGACCTGTCCAAAAGTCCATGCGCCGAGGTGCGCTTCTTTAAGCTGGACCAAGCCTTCTACTCTTCGGACTTGGTAGATTAGTGCCGGATTTCTCTGAGAGTATAAGAACACTGACTTGTACATCGGCTGACCCCAGCATTTCTCTTCATGTAGGCCGCATCGCATTCATCAAGTCACCGCAGTTCTGGATTGAAGTAGAATGCAGGCCGGATCTCAGAATGGATGGTCACCTGCGGAGACTTATCCTTATCAATCCTTATTAAAACTCCAAATTGTATAGAAAACAGTCGAAGTGAGGAGCTGACAAGATACTCAGTCCGGTGAGCGTTAATTAGCCGCGTTCATAAGCTTGCCGGATCCAATGCAGAAATTCGGAAAGTGAAGATAGCTGCTTAATCTGCAGGAAATGACCGAAACTGCAGAACAGTAGTGCAGAAATGACGAAAAGCATTACATACGTATCGATTTGAAGAAATGCAGAAATGCCGAAAGTGAAGAAATGCGGAATCTGCAGAAATGCCGAAAGTGAAGAAGGTGAACGGAATCTGCAGAAATGCCGTGCGGAATGTGCAGAAAAGCAACCGATACGTATCGATTTTCCGCACTTTCGGCATTTCTGCAGATTCCGCACTTCTTCACTTTCGGCATTTCTGCATTTCTTCAAGATCGATACGTATGTAATGCTTTCGTCATTTCTGCACTTTCCGCACTTCTTCACTTTCCGCATTTCTGCATTTCTTCACAGTCGCAGGCTATGAACGCGGCCTTAGAGAGATTTTTAGTTCCTAGGATCCTGAGTTTAAGTTACTGGGAACTCCCTGTTCCGCTTCGAAAGTTGCTAGTGTGACAAGGCCTATAGTGATTCCATGAAAGGTCTTCCTCTTGAATGTCAATATTCAAAAAAAAAAAAAAAAAAACGGGGAATTCTGCTGAGAGGTTAGGTCAGCCGTAAGGCTCGTCGTGTATTGAATCTCACCGAGGGAGCAGGTAAAAATATCTACTGAAGTTACTCTGACCCTTTAGTTTTGTTTAATCGATCCGTGTTTTTCTCATTTCAACCAGCGCTATTTGGGGCCACAACAAGGAGGCTAATGCAATACCCCAAAATGTCGGAACTTTCACAAAATAGGGCTCTAAAAAGAGCGCAGTTGACAGATCCTTTGTAGATGCCTCATTCATATTAAGAGGCCCTAGGATCTCTCCTTTCTTTGAAGGGCTCCTAAATTTAGTCGCTCTCGTGGATTCTCCAATGTCAAGAATGTTTCCAAAGACTGTGTTTTCCTATCGTTAAGGTACCGCGAATGATCGCTTCTGTGCCGAACATCAAGACCGAGGTGGGTTGTCCAGTGCTTTTTGATTCCGTTGATTTCTTTTCACTTTCGGGCCTTCAATTCATTAGGTATGTGCCTGTCTCCACCTGTGCGCCGCACGCTGGCTTTAAATCCGCTTTCTTCAGCTGTCAAACGTTTCTATGATCAGTTTGTAAATTTTTTTTCTCGTTGGCATGGCGGAGAACACCGTGGCGCTGGAACCAGAGGCAGAGAGCGCGGCGGTGACGTTGCTGATTTGCAAGCAAAAGATAGTACAATTGGTTCCCTGCTCAACACGATTGTCCACTCCTTTCAGATATGCTTTCGAAAAAGCACATTGACTACTGAACTGGTTCTGCAGCTTTTTGTCGAACAACACTAGGTCATCGGACATATGGGAGCGCGTTCATATCTTCGCGACCATGAGCAAGTGCTCCATGTCTGACGAGCGACTCCGATTAGGTGCGCTCCACAGCTAATCAGAATCGGTGGACCGCTTATTTAATTGCGAATACGAAAAAAAAATACAAGCCCCTAATGCTCTTCGCGCCTAATTCGCTTAGTATGAAACGCGTTTTCAGAGTTTTCCTGGTATATAATGAGGCAGCACACCGGGAGAAGCCTTTTATGACTAAAGTTCATGATTATTGACTGCTAGCCGTCTGGAAGGTCCGAGGCTTCCGTTGACGCGCACGGCACGGCCGGGTGCTAACATACTTTGGGAGCGGGCGCAGTGATGCGACTATTTCGGCTATACGAACACCCGCCTCGCGTCGGTTTACGCCGTGTTGCTAATAAGCCTAAACCTAGCGAAGGAAAAGGCGACATAAAGTCTTGCGCCGCTGTCTGTGCCCACTCACCCACCCTTTTTTTCAAACTATGTGCACGCCGATAGTGCCCATACTGTATAATTTAGCTACCTTGGTTCTTCCTTTCTCAGTAGATACGTCACAAACACAGATCAGTCCGGTTTCCATGAATCGTTTTGTCGTACACGGCTTGGAACGAACCACCTGTGATTTCTGGCGCAAACTTGGTTGGAGAGGGGGGGGGGGCACGCGGGCCTCGCCCGGGAGGCAAGCTTTGTGAGCGGAGGCAACCAAGGCGGCCTCGGTATGCTGCCTGTTGCCTTGCTGAGAGAGTAGCGCGGGTAAACGGGATTGCCGTTGTCGCCCTCCTCTCAGTGCGGACTCCAACTACGTAGCCTATTTTGTTATCTGTTCTCTGTATTTCCTCCTACGATCACAGAGGTTTTCTGCACAATGATCACAGTTGTCTTCTGCACATATACTCTTTCAGGTAGGAGCAGTAGAAAACAATGCCGTTGAGGAACAAATCTATAGAATCGTCCAATCTGCCGTTGACGGCATGGACACGGACACCATCACTACCCTGACCGCTGCAATATCAGCTTTAGATCGGCAGGTTGTTCTGTCTTCGCTTAGTTTCCGACTCCTGTCTTCCATATACCTTCAATTTTATCGGATTCACTCATCTAAGTTTGCAGAACGCTATTAACAATCTGCTAGTGTCGAAAAGGCTCGTCATCGCGAAAACAATCAGGTGGAGCTCTTCGGTTGAAAGTCAACACAAATACGCAGTTGTCCGGAGCCACTGAGGAAGAGCAGGCTGTTCGTACTACCTAACTTCCCTTTTTACCATTTATCTCGTTTTTCGTAGTTTATGGTGTGTGAAATTTAGATATTTACTCTGATAGAGGATTCGAAGCGAAAAGGCATTTGGATTCGAGAGTTACGGGATGGATCGGGACTGTCACAAATTCAGCTTCGTAAAGTTCTGAAGTCACTTGAGCAGAAGAAACTTATCAAAAACATAAAAGTGAGTGAAATTTCTAAATTCGCTGCCGTGTTTCTTATTGTTGATTTCTTAGGCTGTCGGCACAACAAAGAAATGCTACATGCTTTACGATTTGGAACCGGATACTTCACTAACAGGAGGTTTCGTTTGATTTTCTTCTTTCTTACAAGAGAAGGTTGAAGATCAAACAGGCATTTTGAAATGGGAAGTGTACTGTCTCTCGCTGATTATGTCGTGCTCATACTTTGCGTGAGCGCCGGCGACTGGGAAAGCATAGGTATCGATTTAGCGTACGCCAGCGTACAGCAGCGTTTCGAGCGACTAGGAAAATATGGATATCGATTCAGCGTTTCGTGCTCCCACCAGCGTATGCCTGTGTGCGTCAGCGTATAGCAGCGTTCGAGGCTGTTGAAGTAGAGATATAGCGTACGCTGGATACACTGGCGTACAATAGATGGATACCTATACTTCTCTAGTCAGTGGCGTTGTTGTACACTCAAACGGCTGTCGCTGTCGCAAAGTATGAACGCAGTCTTACGAATCCGGCTTCTTGTCGGCTACGGTCCTCCCTAAGAGAACTTACGAAGGACTTTTGAGTGGAGCTTACCCATACTGATTACGAACTTCGGGTTGTGGCACCTTAGCCCAATGGTTGAGTGTTTGTCCTCTTGTCTGCCACTCAATGGCAGTTTTATGGGGTTTGTCTCACACTCGAACATCTTCACGCCCGAAATTCGTCATGAGTTATGCTTCGCTGAAAGGTCTACGTTACAAAATTGTTCACTGAAGTGAGCAGCAGACATGAAAGACGGATTTGTTCACAATCCAAAGACATGTGAGGCCGTATGAACTTCATTTTGAACGGCTTTTGACCTACCATCCCTCCTTTCTCAGTCGCTTTTGGTCTTTCCTTTCAGTTATGCTTGCAGACGAACTATACCTTTAGGAACGTTCTATTCGGATCAGCAGTTGGACTCCGAACTAATTCACACGCTGGTAAATGTGTGCATCGGTTACATTCACGTGCGTGTGATTTCTCTGTTTTCAGTTTCTTATTTTCTTTCACTTGCTCTTCCGAACTCGCAAAATAACGCCGTTCTGCGTTGGTACTGCAGCAGGTATAGGACAGCGTTGCTTTCTGGTGTTATGCCTTGGCAAGGAGTTCAGCTGTAGGCAATCATGATAGTCCATTCAATGACTTAATTTCACCCCTTACTTTTCTTTCATCCACATTCGTCGCTCTAGTATCCCAGCTTCAGTGGCAGAGATGGTGTGATGACAAGTAGATCCCCTTACCTCTAACATATTCAGAGGTTCAAATTTCGTTTTCCCCCCACCAATCAAGCTCGTTGCCTTTGGGCTCCTTACATTGGTACTTGTCCTCGAGGAGACAAATCGTTGACCCGTACATCACTTTCCTAGCTTTTTAGCTCAATAAATGTGCGCAGACAAAGCATTTATAGCCATGTTCGCAGCGGATGAAGAAGTGTGTCAGGCGGGATGGGCTTGCCGAGTCCGTTCCTCACCTGTTGTTGAAGCGGTTTGCCTAAAACAGTCGACGGAAGAACGACTGGAAAACTGGTTTATCGTCGCGTCAAACTCTTCCCGCATGACACGCCCCTTCATCCGCAGCGAAGAAGTATGAACATCAAAAACTATTAATGGTCAAACCTAAGAACTGCAAGATCGCTTTTTCAGAGTCGTCGTAAGCAGGCCATCGACAACCATCCGGACGATATATCCATGCAAAAAGAGCTCAGTTGTGTCCGTTCTCAAGAGGTGCTGTGCTTTTCCGTTTTATTGATGTAAATAGCAAAACATTAACGAAAATAGTTTCCGTTAAGGTAGCAGATTTTATATTGGAAAAGCGGGTTTTGAACGTTACCATCAATGTTGAAGACGTTGAACGAATTCTCGAGGTGGCTATATTAGATGGTGCTATAGAACGGCGTCCCGATGGAAAAGTAAGCTCTACATTTACCACAACAGCTTTTCAGATTTTGCGCAAGATCTTCATGACACCTCAGTGAGCGTGGCGTGCCGGGTGTGTTGGCAGATTTGCCTTCCGCCGATTATGCCATGGCATCTTACGCTGTCGCGAGCTGGGCGATCGGCTGGGCCCTAGACAGGGAAGGATGGTAGCGAAGTGGCCATTTGAAATGAAATGTATACCGGCTGAAAGGTCTTCGGACGGGAATTACGAAACCGTCTTCCATATCTGCTGCGGACCTCCCAGAACGAAGTTACGAGCTATTTTGGGGAGAATGCAGCTAGATGGCGGTGGGGCTGACGTGAGGCCTCACCGAGTTCGTGGCGACATGCGAGGGCATACCGTCGGTAGAGCTCGACGGATGTGTCAGTACAGAGGGTTTGGATCCTTGCATGCGTTTTTGGTGTGCGTGCTTTTGTCATTTTTTTCGATGAAACGGCTCCGCGTTGTGCAGCTTGCAAGATCTATTTGTGCATGGAATACTTTGGCTCTCTGAGTAGAGTTCGTGTTATGTTATGGATGATTTCTGATGACTGATGGATCCTATTGATTCGTTAACTATTCCAATTTTAGAGGTGTATTCACGTCTGTTCGCCTGGCTGTTCTTCTTCTTTTTTGATTTGAAAAGCATACACACAACAAAAGCGCATTCCAAAGGAAGATTTTGCAAATGACTTTATTCTCCAAACGAGATGACTGGAAAACGAATCCGTACGCACGAATGTTGTGCACGAAGATGAGTATAGTGGGGAAAATACTTCCATATGAAGTGGCGTTGATGTGACAAACATGCTGCTGAGATGGCGATGAGGAAGAGGTTCATTTACCACTCACATAATGTTGAAGTTATGTCTATCTCAAAGTGTTTTCGTATCTGCTGGAAGTTTTCGGCTCGTATGACAATCTCTTCAGCCGGAGGTGATCTCCATGAAATCGTTCGCAATGGCTCCATCAGTTCAGAAACACTACGTCACGACATTATCAGGCACCAGAGTTATACAAAATAGCTTTGAAGTGCACAGGGGCCACTTTCGAAAAAGCACACACGCATCAAGGATCCAAACCCTCGATGCGCATCCGCGAGCCCTACAACGTTTCCTTGTTTCGGCGCCAGGTGCTGCACGACCTCGTGGGCCTTATTTGTAGTGTATTTTTCTCCCCCCTAAAAACCTCCGTAGAATCTTTCTGTCGGCAAGCAGATGAATGAAAGACGGTTGTTTCGTAATTCCCCGCCGTATAGCCTCTTTGGCTAGCCGGGGGTGATACGAGTTTATTTCAAGATGACCTATTCTTTCGAGTTTGCCTAGCCATCTCTTCCCATGTAAGTTGTTCTCAGTGTTCTTGCGTTGCTAGGCGGTCTACCTTAATGTAGATGGCTGCCGAGATCCAGCTGACTGACATTTGATGGATCACGTGGGGTATTCTTTTAATTGAGAAAGTGGGGGGGTGATATTCGTGTATTCCAACGCATTTGAGCAAGGCGCACATCATGTGGGGTTTTTGGTCGGGTCCGTGCGACCCCCCCCCCTTTTTTTTCGAGGGTTGGTACGACCCCTCCCCCTCCGGCCCTCTGTCCCTCCTCATCGAGCGCTATCGAAAGGGGGGGGGAGGGGGTAGTAAAGAGCCACATGCTGAGACAGAAAAAGCGCGTGAGGAAAAATACCGACGCCTCCCTCCCCCCCCCCCTTCTAGCCCCATTCTCAGATTTCCCCAACTTTGTGCCCACGTTTTCCAGTAAAATCTCGCGAAAATTTCCATACTTCTTACACGGAAATAGATGTTTCGCTGTCTGAGAGCGGGAGGTGGGTGGAGTAGTGTAGGGATGGGTTACAGGTAGCTGACAAATCGAGACAGGGAAAAAGATTCGTGCGATAAAGGTCTGCACCACTTTCCTCCCAGATAAGCCGAGAAAATAAGCCAAGAGAGTGAAGGGCGACCCCCCGCTTCGTCCGTGAGCTGAGACAAAATCAGGCTATCAAAATAATTTTTTTCTAAGCCGAAATACGACCCCCCCTCCTCTCGATGACCAATTACGACGCCCTGTTGGGGGTCCCCAACAACGATGTGCCCTGGGTTAGAGTCGTAGCCGCCGCTGCGTCCCGAGGCTTCGCTAGGTGTGCCAGGACCGCCGCATCTGCCATAACCCGGCCCTTAAAGAGAGTCGTGTTGTAAATTGCTAGCAGGTTATAATGAGGACGTGCGTCTGCAACTACACCCATTAACCATAGTATGTAAATTAGCAGCTGCAGATTTGCGCAACGATCTGGCATGACACTCAGTGAGCGTCGCTGCCGGCGCGATTTCCTTCGCTCATTATGCCAGGCCATCTTACGTGTCGCACAGATTGGCGATCGCTGGCGGCCTAACTCACAAGGGAAGGATGGTAGGTCGAAGTGGCCATTTGAAATGAAATGTATACCGGCTGAAAGGTCTTCGGACGGGAATTACGAAACCGTCTTCCATATCTGCTGCGGACCTCCCAGAAAGAAGTTACGGAGCTTTTTGGGGGAGATGCACTAATTGGCGGCGTAAGGCTGACGAGTCGTGGCAGCATGGCCGAGTGGGATACGTCGTAGACCAGGATGCGTGGTGAGAGGGTTTGGATCCTTGATGCGTGTGCTCTTTTGCATTTTTTCGAAAGTGGTCCCTGTGCACTTCAAAGCTATTTTGCATAATACTTGTCCCTGATAATGTCGTTATGTAATGATTCTGAACTGATGGAGCCATTGCGAACCATTCCATAGAGATCACTTCTGGCTGTTGTCTTCTTCTTTCTTTGATTTGAAAAGCATACACAACAAAAGTGCATTCCAAAGAAAGATTTTGCAAATGACTTTATTCTCCAACGCAGCACTGACTGGAAAACGAATCCGTACGCACGAAGTTGTGCACGAAGATGAGTATAGTGGGAAAATGCTTCCATATGAAGTGGCGTTGATGTGACAAACATGCTGCTGAAGATCGCGATGGGCAAGAGCTTCATTTACCACTCACATAATGTTGAATTATGTCTATCTCAAAGTGTTTTCGTATCTGCTGGAAGTTTTCGGCTCGTATGACAATCTCTTCAGCCGGAGGTGATCTCCATGAAATCGTTCGCAATGGCTCCATCAGTTCAGAAACACTACGTCACGACATTATCAGGCACCAGAGTTATACAAAATAGCTTTGAAGTGCACAGGGGCCACTTTCGAAAAAGCACACACGCAATCAAGGATCCAAACCCTGCGACTGCGCATCCGTGAGCCCGGAAATTTCTTTCGGGCCATGCTGCCACGGCCTTGTGGGCCCTTCCCATTTGTAGGTATTCTCCCCGCTAAATAACGCTCCGGTAACTTCTTTCTGATGCGCAAGCAGATAATAGAAAGACGGTTCGTATTTCCCGTCGAAGCCCTTTCAGCCGGTATACATTTTATTTCAAATGACCACTTCGACCTACCATCCTTCCCTTGTAAGTTGGTCCAGCTTCTTCGCGTTGCACGGCTCCTTGAATGTAGATGGCTGCCACCACTGACTGACGCTTGAGATACTGGACGAAGAGAAGAGTTGAACGACCAACTGCTTGAGCAGGGCACATCATGGTTGGGGTTTTTGGTCGGGTCCGTGCGACCCCCCCCCCTTTTTTTGAGGGTTGGTACGACCCTCCCCCTCCGGCCCTCTGTCCCTCCTCATCGAGCGCTATCGAAAGGGGGAGGGAGTAAATAGCACATGTGAGACGGAAAAAGCCGAGAAAAATACGACCCTTCCCCCCCCTTCTACCCCGATTCTCAGATTTTCCCCAACTTCGTGCCACTTTTCCAAAATCTCGCGAAAATTTCCTTACTTTACACAAAAATTTTGCTGTCGAGCGGGAGGGGGAGGGTAGGGGGAGGTACATAGTTACATGAGACAGGAAAATCAGAAAAGTCGACCACTTCTCCCAGAAAGCCAGAAAATAAGCAAGAGAGTGAATGCGACCCCCCCCTTTCGTCCGAAGCGGAAAACGCTTCAACATTCTCGGACATACGAGCCCCCGAGGACATTAACCCCTGTGGGGGTTCCCCAACAACGATGTGCCCTGGGTTAGAGTCGTAGCCGCCGCTGCGTCTCGAGGCTTCGCTAGGTGTGCCAGGACCGCCGCATCTGCCATAAACCCGGCCCTTAAAGAGAGTCGTGTGGAAATTGCAGCAGTTAGTAATGAGAGTGCTTCAACTGAACCCCATTAACCATAGTATGTAATAGCGGCGTTCATCTTTAACATAGTAATTTTCTGGCGCCAAAGCTATATCAGCCTTTTAAGAGGAGCGAATTTTCGATTAGGTAGACCACTTCGCGCGCTCCGCGTTTCACAGATTATAAGTGGTTCTCCCATTCAGGAGCTCCATCGCCTTTGAAAATTGCAGACTAATGTAATCACTCAGATTTGAGTGATTTATGAAAGGCATATTGCATCTTTATAAGTAATGCATTGTAATATTGTAAAGCTGAGGTAAAGGCAAAAGTCGCGTAGTGTCCATAGTCCCAGGCACGTACAGTCCCGCGTAGTTTCAAGACTTTTCCCGTAACCGTTCTTGTGAAAACTTTCGGAAGCGAACTACGGTGTTCAAGAGCAGTTATCATAATGGAACAAGACATTCATTGAAGTGTATAATCAGGTTCGAGCTACAACATCAACCACACGTCCGTCTCCATTAGTTACAGTACCGTGCTCGACCTGTCCAGTAGTGGACGACTGTTCTTCGGGGCATGTGATAAGCCCTCAAACGTGTCGTTATATGGCTGAATGGCTCTCAGGAAGCTGACTTCAAAAACTTTAAAATATGATTCTTTCATTGTCTGTTTTCTGTTATAGTAATGAGCTTTTGAATAGAGTTCTAATTTATTTGATTCTTATCTCATGGCGGTTAACTTTTTGTTGTTAGTTGTTATGCTAAGTTATTTGTATGCTTTCTTATGTTGTCAAGCTACGGGAATTGTTATGATTGTTTGAATTTGTTCTGTGTTATGTGAGCTCATTCGTAAGAGCAAAGAATGAAACTATGCAAACGAGCGCCACTGGAT